GATCGGTGGGACAACACTTTTTTCGCCTGACGTTTCGAGATCCGCCACGGATTCATCATCAGAGGCATAAACAGAAAGCAGTAGTAGACTGATTCCTCAAACCTATTAACTTCCCACACGGAAGGGCCTTGCCTATTAACTTAAGCGACTGCAATATGCCAACCCAAAAAATGAGGCAGACTCGGCCAAGGTACTGATGATGATCGTGTTGTCTGTCAAACACTATCGATATTTTTGGAATTCAAAGAGCAGAAACTAGCGATTGATGTTGTGGGACAACTTCTAACCGAACGCTACGATGGGAGCGACAAACCCCTGAAGTCTGAACACCTGCTCGAACTTCTAAGATATTGCCTCAAAGCCTACTTCACATTTGGTGGACAAATGCATTTGCAAATAAAAGATACTCCGATGGGCTCCCCTTATCAGGCCTTCTCGTTGAAGTGGTGCTCCAACGGAGGAAACAGTTGGTCGATGACAATTTCGTCATTGTCAAAAAATCTGACATCGAGCATCTTAAAGAGTTACTGAACTCGGTTAATTCAAACATCCAATTCACAATGGAGGCTGAAAGAAATAACTAACTACCCTTCCTCGATGTCCTTGTGCGTCGGTGTTCAACTGGAATACTGCAAACTACAGTATTCAGAAAGGTCACCAGCACGAATCAAGTACTACATTTCAACAGTAATCACCTCATGTCTCACAAACCTAGCTGCGTGCGTACTCTTTTCCAAACAGTCGAAACACATTGCAGTACACCAGCTGACAGAAGAGCTGAGCAACAATACCTTCAGAAACTCTTCCGAGCTAATGGATATCCAAACTCAGTTATCAAACCATGCAAACGCCGAGTGAACGGAAGACGGCTAGTGGAACAGCAATCCGAGGTCTGGAGGGCCATCCTCTACATAAAAGGGGTCTCCGAAGTAGTCTCACGACTGTTACAACCTGCTGGTGTAGACATAGCCCATCAACCCATACGCCGCCGGGTGATGCAACCTAAAGACAGACTGCCTCCTACAGAAACCTCTGCAGCTGTCTACAAGATATGTTGCAACGATGGAGACTGTAATTGCGTTGGAAAAACGGGCCGAAAATTACAGACCCACCTACACGAGCACAAACTAGCGGCGCGGAGGCTGGACTCAAGCTCGCAACTTGCTGCACACATCGCAGAGACTGGCCACGAGTTTGATCTTCAAGGAGCGACCATCGCAGGCCGGGGAACCTCAAAAGCCGAAAGGCTGACGCTCGAGGCATGGTACTCAGATGCCAACTCGGTCAACAGGCATCTGGACCTGCCCGCGGCCTACAAAGTCTTGCGCCACTATATGGGTAAAGGACAGAAAAAGACCGAACGGAACGTAAGAATGGCATGCGAAGAGGACCCCACAGCGAACCGGCCGGAAGAGGAGGCAGGGTTACCAGGACCCTCTATCGTGGGGACAAGGCGCTACTAATTGCTGGTCATGACCTCCAACTCCACTGACAGCTAATAAGAGTACATCACTATAATTTCCCCCAGACTCTACTTACAGCTAATTAGTATACACCACTATAATTGCCCCCCACATCCGTCTTGACTACTCTCTCTAACCCCTCGACAACCTGCTGACTTCTGACAGTTGATAGGCCTGTGGCCACTATAATTACCCTCCTTTTGGTTGCTACTTCTCATATCTGAAGATGGACTCCTGTAAGAGTTCGCAAGCTCAGGGCAATAAATCGATTGATCCGGTGCTCGACATGCCTTCTTCCTTGTCCATACCTGGAAAGCGAATTTTCGCATTCATTCAGAAACTCAGAAAAGGGCAGATCGAGGTTAGATGAAACGCTCAGTGGCCAGCAAGGCATTTTAGGACCACCACCCTCCAGGATTTCGTCCGTGCACAATTCAGACGCAACGTGATCTAATATCAAGAAAATCGCGTACCCTCGACAGGTAGGCAAAACGATTTTAAATACCTGGCTTTAATTAGTGACCGAACATTTGGCTGCAGTCACGCTGACTGCCCACACCCTGTCTGGCGCGACCTACAAACACGCCCAGTCTCGCCTGAGCCCACACCGCGGCTTAACCTCTTGCGATCCAACCAATAATCTCCAAGGCGGCATAAAATCAGTCAGTTAACGGTGGCCGCTCGTATGAATGCCGTCGGACATCACTCCGGACCTAGCCCGCCTCGCGGCTGGACGTGCGCTCCGGCAGCCAAGATTTCGTCCTAACTTTTATCCTTTCCGTCTGTACAAAATACACTTTTCCTAGCACTCTGGCCTTTCCATGACTTCTCTCGCTTCTCTTAAGGAACCGGGCCTGGAAGATCGCAGCCGTTAGGGTTGACTCAATTAACCTTAACATCACGAGATAGACTCACTTAAATTAAATTAACCCCTTATTATGACCGAATACCCTAAATTAAGGAAACATATTCATTAATTAAACTTTTTTGCATGAACAAGCTTTACTCATTCCAAACAAGTATTTAAGCCCTTTGCATTTCCGATTTCAATAAGAAAGTTGTTATTCCTAACAAACGTAACATTTCATTCGATATTTACATGTACTTTATCATAAATAATGGAGCGTAGTCAATGCATATGGCCTACTTCCTAAATCATTTGAATTTTGGCTGTACTTTACGAAAATTGTTTGACCGTTGTCACCGACAAATTCATACGCCGATAACGCCGGATAAATCACAGTTACGCCTTTGCCGCACCAGGTTAATGTACTATGGGGGTCATAGATCATCTCCATTGCAAAGGCAAAAATAATTGCACTTTACCGTCTGCATAAATCTTTACAAAGTGCATCATTAATTTTCAAGAGGTCCCATACTTATGCACGACTGTCGTTCAACTATAAATTGTTCAATCGGTGAGATACTTTTCAGTTGGTGGAAACTCCAAAAATCGTTCGCTTGCCACATAATATGAAGAAGCAGAAAAAATGAATAATAACAGTAATTGGACTGAAAGAACAAGCAGCCACAAAAAGTGAAGGCCTAATGTAAACTGTCGATGTACTTGCAGGCGAAAAACGGATTGGCAAGAGCGAGGAGTAGAAGAAATACTATCACTGCTACTGATGTAGTAATATTTGGGCGTGAAGGAAGAGGAGAAGAAGAAGAAGAAAAAGAAAAAGGAAAATTGGTTTTAGTTATGGTAACAGAAGCAGCAAGAATGGAGGTGAAGAAATTTTTCTTGGACTATGGAAACGATACAGTTGCTTGGAAGCGTTTATTCTTTTTGCATAAATTCAATCCATTCCTCCTCCTTTCCATGAATCAGTTTCTCGGCCTGATACAGACGCTGAGCCAGTGGACATCGTTTTGTCTCCGGTATAAAAATTAGCGTCAGCAGCGCGCCCAAAACTATGACGCTTCCATAAATGACTCCAGGGAGGCAGTAATGGATGGCATCCGTGGCGTTGATAAAGGGAGCAAGGCAGGACACAGTACAGCTGAAGGACAGAGTCAGAAAGATGCCCATGTTACGTATTGTTGTAGGCATTATTTCTGTCACCATGAGGAGCGACAAGCTTACTGTGGAGGAGGTCGCCACCTTCCCAAGAAAGACAATTACGGTGCAAGCAACATCTGACAGTGGCCGCACCGCTGGACCAATTACAACAGTCGAGGCTATCACCACAGCAAGAATACCCACCGAGAGCCGCCGGCAAAAGAAGTGAGCCACTGCCCAACCAATAAACGGCGCGGGCAGCTCACCTAGGCCCATACAAAGCACGTTCAAGAAAATATTTGTACTTGCAAAGTTTTGGCTCGTGGTTAAACCATAGAAAGAAAGATGCATGCTCGCCACGTAGATGCACAAAATGAAAGTCTTTTTGCGCATGTTTGGCAAACGGAAAACGTTTTTTATCTCATCTGTGATGGCCAAAGAATCCACTTCTGTTTTATCACCAGCATTTGCTACATCCGTCTGGTCATGAGGGACTTTTTTGTGAGTTTCGGAGCCGATGATTGATGTGACCGCTTCCTCTATAAAATCTTCTGCCAGTTTCACTCGGTTCCAGCGTGCAATTCTCCTAAGAACATTGCGAAATTTCATGTATTCGCCATTAGCTGATAGCCACCGGAGTGACTCAGGCATTATGAAGAAAACTGGGAGATAGGAGATCATGAGAGGTAAGGCATAAATTCGAAACCAGTACCAGTCCCGAGTGAGGTAGGCTAATCCTGCAGATCCTACATACCCAAGTAGGTAGGGTATCCAGTAAAGAGTGCCGAAGAGGCCCCGTTTTCGTGTAGGTAAGATCTCCTGTATAATGCAAGTAGCGACGAAATTAAGAGGCATGGTGAGCATACGCAACAGTCGCAGAATAAAAATAACTTCAAAATAGGTACCGAATTGGATTGTGCTGGTAACTATCATCTCAGCAACCACGTAGAAGAGTAGCAGCTTCCTGCGACTGATTCTGTCTGTAAAGAGAGCGATAGCGTGTCCTACAGCGATAAAGAAAAACATGCTACTAGCCAACCACTTGATCAGGTGTTTACGGCCGCAAATCAGAGTGAAGTCTGTCGACAAAGTTCGACGCATCACTGACTGATCAAAGTGCCACTCGGAGCAGGAAAATAATTCCATATGGGTGCTGCTATTACGTTGTCCTATGGCCCAGCATTGTTCTTCAACAGTTTCGATTCCGGACATCCTCTCCATACCAGATGGGTCATTAAAGAGAGCAACGAAGGTCGAGGAAGAAATCCATCTAAGATTGAAAAAGTCTTGCATTCGCGAATCCGAACAATTGAAGGAAGGTGTATAGTGCAGGAAGATCATTGACTGATACTCGTAGGACATCATCATGGAACACATTGAACAGCAGATCGTGAGAACAATTTGGTACAGACCCGTTCCGTAAACTCTTTCAAGCACCTCGTCGTAACTTAAGGCCATTTTCTGGTTTCTAGACTGCCCCACCTACCATTCAACGCAAGTCCACAAAAGTGACCACCAAGAACATTTCGTTGACACTATATACTGCTGTGATGATCTGCAAAATTGCTCGCATCGTGCCGCTGGCCAAAGTGTGCGAAGGATGATTTATTGTGGCACCCCATGTCGTCATTAAACAAGATGCGAGACGGCCTCGTAAATTTTTAAAGTACCAAAAGTTTGCAAACAAAGATGCGCGTTTAATGTGCGTGAGTGCGTGCGTGCAGGCGTGATTGTCTGTTTGTGTGCATAGGGGAGCCTGTGAACCTGCGCAGAGCACCATCTTATCCTGATCAACACCTACATTCGCCTTCCGCTGCAGCACAGGTCGACTTGGATGCACTCCCGGTCCCGACACTGGCACCTACTGGAATATGTCCTCATCCGGCGGCGTAACCAGCAGGTGACAAAGGCAATCCCGTGGGCCCACGTATGGACTCGCATGTTCGCTTTCATTGGCACAGATCATTGTCTCGTCATCTCCAAGCTATGGATCTGCTTGGCTGAAGGTCCGCTGCTAACCGTCTGCATTTTAGCAACGAGCTGACGTAAAACCCAGCCGATCTTCCAGTCGTAGATGAAAAAACTCTCATGGAGATCCGATGGTGTTAACTGAGGAACGCCGTCGAATCCAATACCCTAACTGGTCTTGGCCACGCATGTCGTCAACGCCAGGACTGGTTTGACGAACATGATGCAATCATCAGCAATCTGCTCGCAGAAGAGAACCGTCCGCACAAAGCTTGTAGCGCTGGCGCCAAGCCCGAAATGTGCACGTGACTTCGCTACTTTACCTCCTTCTGGGCCAGCCAATCACAGGTGCCGTAGACGACCATTGGCCAAGT